GCACGAGATAGCGCAAATTTCGTACGGGAATTCGAACAGAAATAAGCCCTGACCACCTGTCGGAAAAACGCGATTTCCATTATAAGGCCTTGGGGCTCCTGGCACCCCTGGCCCCGCTGATACGCTGGCGTGACGCTACCAATAATCAATTGTAAGGGCCTGCAAGTCGAGCGTCAGTAAGTATCAGAAATCCGTCACCTCTGGTAAGTCCTAGTCGCACCCGATCACTTCACCTCCCAAAACCCGAGTTTCCGAAGAAGCCATTCGAAAGAGGTTGCACCCCACCCTCTCAGAATGTCAAAATTATCTTCAAATTGCATCTGTTTCATCTACAGTGAGTGTCCGTTTATTGTCCTCGTGAACGGACTTGAAATTTTCCGTCTAAGTCCCAGGTCACGGGAGCTTTCCCTAAGGCTGACGGAAGTAACCTCCGCGACCATGGCTGACCATGGATGACGGACGAGGACGAGGGGAAATCCTGTCAGCCTGCTTACACACCTCGGAGTCGAATTTGGATCCAGAATTATCGCCTCGAAGCGCCCACATCCCTCCGGCAGTTGGTTAGGCTTGTGAATTCCGAGTCGGAGATTAGTCTCGGGGCGATATCTAGGCGCCGAGGTCCAGGCGTTGAAGGGTTATAAAAATGGGCTTTCGTCGTCTCATTCCAGCGCAGTTCCTTCCCGCTTACTTCGAGTTCGAGATTGGATGGACGTTGGTGCTACCCGGCTTCTGTCCCATGGTGCGTTCCCCCTCCGTTCACATATCACCTTTTAACTTCGACTTCACTTAACAGGGCATCTTATACTCGGTGCGTGCCTCGTACGTCTCTGTAGTTTAACACTGACTCACTACAAATAGGCTTTCTTCTTTTCTCTGAGGTGAGAAGCAGGTAGCAGGGGGGCCGGGCACTGACTCTGCTAACGTGTGTCTGTCTTCACATGCATTAGAAAGTTGCGACTGACTTTGACGGACAGGATGGTAGTTGGCTCACGAACGGTAAGGTTCTATTTAGTGCCACAATGAATTTAAGCTAACCTCATTCAAGACCGCTGTACCTCGATTGGCTGTTTCCTCGAGCAGCGCGAAACGTCTGCTTCTTTGTTTGTTGACGACGACGGAAATGTAAATTCCGAGGGGGGGCATGTAGTTCTCCTAGAGTAGAAAATGAAAATTATTTCTTATTCCCTTCTTTTGGATAAGGACAATAATCAGTACACCCGAATATGGGTTTTTGTGGCCAGTATTCGTAGGGTTTTCTAATGACACCTATTCGCCCTCATAACCCTGGAGAAGGCCTGAACAGCTGTACAGACGAGATCAGGCCAAATACGGTGTGTTAGGGCCATAAGTTCTATAATCCTTGTACACATTACAAAATTGGATGGGTGACTTTTCGCCATCGATATGAACCCCGATTTTCTGACGCCCTAACAGGTCCTTATATGCCCATATATGGCTATATAGGCAAAATTTGATTTTTCCGACACCATGCATGAAGCCAGAGCCAGGTGCGAATGCGGCGTGGTCGCACCGAGTCTCAGTGCTTCTGATGAGAAACAGGTAGGTATCACGAAGAAAGATTTCGGCGGACGTGAAGATAGAATACGAAAGAGAGCGGCAACCTGCCGGAAAATTCGGAGATCGAGTCAGACGAAGACGGCGAAGAGACATCAGTCTCTGTCTCTGAAATCGCCAAAGAGAAGCGTCTGGTCGCGAACTTGATGTATCATTAGCGACAACGTCGATCTCGAAGGAAGAAATAAGACGAACAAGACGGCAAGCAGAGGAGCTCTCCGGATGAATCCCTCCTAGCAAGGGCCACCGAACGCGGACTCCGCGAAGGCAGCATTGCGCGTCAATGTACGGTCCTAAATGCTTCTGAAGCACCCTCCTCGCCGAGTTCGCGCCAGAACCTTGTTCATAGTGGTGAGGTTCGTGCAGTCGGATACTTGCAGGCCCATGGGGTGCGCGAGGATATAAACAGACGCCTGTGAGGGTTTGTCAGCACTAGGTAATTGAAAAAGAGAAGACGCTGAAAAGGATACCAGGCGCCGAGTGTAGTTCGGAAATAGGATATTAATCAAGAAGCCGAAACGAAATAGCTAGAGCAGGGTTCCTACGGGAGTCGAACGAACACCGGCGTTAGCAAAGGAAGGCGAGTTGAATGGAGGGCAGGAACGTAAAAGATTCGAACCGATCCTCGCTTTTGAGGAGAAACAGGCAGTCAACATGAAGAGAGAATACGGCGAACGCAAAGGTGGAACCTAACAACGAGACGGAGGGTAAGCTCAACGTCGTCTTCGGGCAATATCAGTCTCCCAAACCAAAATTGCCAACGAAAAGTGGCTGGTGGGATCTAGAAATGATTGACGATGAGAAACGACGGGAAGCAGTATTCCTCGAATGAAAGACCGGAACGAGGCTTGAGTTGAACGGTCATCTGGCCGAGAAAAAGAATAGAAAAAGAACGAGAAGAATCAATGGTGCGTATGGAGAGTTTGAAGATGGACCTTGGCGAACTAAACCGCGGTCTCGAAGGAAAGGCAGGGCACGAAAGAAAATCCGCAAATGAAAACTCACTCGTGGAAGGACGAGATTTTCCAGAAATACGAAGAGTCGAACGCAGAACTCTAACGAGACAAGTCGAAGTCCAATTCCAAGTGGAAGAGTATCGTTTAAAGACTGTGGGCGAACGGATAAGACGGCGACCAATGAGATACAAGAACGAAAAATGAATGAACGAACACGTCCACCAGAAGGGAAAGAAGGAAAAACGTCAAGCCGAAGGGCCAGAAGGAACGAGACTGAGGGACACCATGGCACGAGAACGAAAAGAAACCACAAAGAAAAGACTACTCACTCACTCACTTCTCTTCCAGCCCATCCCATCCTACCGCGACGACGATCCTCTCCTCTGCTTCTCCTCCCTTGCCTTGCCCGGCTCTTACCTTTCCATCACCAGCTCCAAGACTCATACATCGAGATGGACATAAAAACAAGTCGACCAAGTGCCTTTACGCCCAAGCTAGAAAGAACCGAGCGTCTCGAGACCAATCATCCTTAATCATCGGTAGAGGTGGAAGACGGAAGAACGGAAACCGCCGGCATTCTCTCAACGCCTGATAGCACTGTAGAGACTACGTGCGCCGTCAAAGTTGATTAGGGTTGGTGGTCCTCGTACACCTAATAGTACTTGTATTCCAGCACGGCGTTTACGACACGGACGAATGTTGAGACTGAGCTTGCGGTACTCTACAGACGGTGACCGCGAAGGCGGAGCTTCGCTCCCATACATGGGTCTCAATGTTCAGTCTCATACTCCTGCTAATCCAATTCATATTAGAAACCAATAACAGTACGACGAAAGAGGGACCCAGCGAGCGAGCGAGCGGACGTCCGAACCCAGGCCCCAGTCTATGCAACCACCTGCCTTACACCCACTCCTCCGTTGACGTCGGCGATGACGACGAGCGAGACGCCGAGAGACCCAAGTCTTCAACGTGCTCAAGCCGACGCCTACGAGCGCTCCGCCTCTCAACGCACATTTAGTATCGGTGCACCTGCGAACCAAAACGCATCAGCAACCCATCCTACCCCCACCTCCACCCAAACCCCCCAAAAACCCAAAAAATCACTCACCTCCTCCCTCTCCCTCCCCCTCCCAACCGCAGGCTCCGTCCCCCCAAAATACACATCCCGCCATAGCTCCTCCACGCCCGGCTCCGGGCTCCTCTTCGCCTCCTCCACCGCGCTATCCACCGCCGCCTTCGCCTCCTTATCCAACTGCTTCAACTCCTGCTCGCTCGCCAAACCCCACTCTTGCAGGTAGTTCTGCAGCCCGCGGATGGGGTCTTGGGTGGACCGCATGCGCTGGACTTCTTCGCGTGTGCGGTAGGTCGTGCCGGGGTCGGACATCCTGGAAGGACGTGAGGACGAACATAAGGAGAGGAATACAGTGATGAGTGGACGTACGAGTGCCCTCCGTAGCGGTACGTCACGAATTCGAGGAGCAGCGGACCTTTATCCTCGTCGACGGCCCACTTCCGGGCGTATTGGACGGCCTGCTTGGCCGCGATGATGTCCATCCCGTTCACCTACATATCGTTCCTCGAGTAAGGCAAAGGCCACAACCCCGAGTAAACGAAACAGGGAAAGACGGACCTGGAGGCCGGGGATCTTGTCACCGCGGGTAAAGTACTCGGTGTTGGACGAGGAGCGAGCAGCGGAGGTGCCCATTCCGTACTTGTTGTTCTCGCAGACGAAGATGGTGGGGAGATTCCACAGCTTGGCCTTCAAATGCGCATATAGTCAACAAAAAAAAAAAAAAAGAAAGAGACATAAGATAAGGAAGGAGGAACGTACCATATTAAACGCCTCAAACACCTGCCCCTGATTACTCGCCCCATCCCCATACAGCGCAAACGTACACGTCTTCTCGCCCATATACTTCTGTGCGAAGCTGACCCCGGCGCCGATGGGCACCTGCGCACCGACGATACCGTTCCCGCCGAAGAAGGTGGGGGTGAAGATGTGCATGGAGCCGCCCTTGCCCCGAGACATGCCGCATTGGCGACCGAGGAGCTCGCCGATGACGCCTTTGATGGTGCCGCCGCGCATGACGGCGAAGGGGTGGCAGCGGTACGCGGTTATGACGCGGTCGTTTGGGGTGATGCCGTGCTCGAGGCCGACTGAGACTGCTTCCTAGAACACAACAAACAGGTAAAGCTTTTCGTTCGCAACGAAAAACGAGAACGAAGGGAGGAAGGAAAGGAACGCACCTGCCCAATAGCCAAATGACAAAACCCTCGAATCAGCTTCGCCTTGTACAGCGCATCCGCCGCCATCTCCATCCGTCGCATCGTCTGCATCTCCTTGTACATTGTCAGCAGCTCGTCCTTCGTTACCTCCAGCTCGAGCTCGGGCTTGTCGCAGAGGTAGGCACGGAAGGAGTCTTCATGGAGCTTGACGGTGATAGGCTGGGAGAGGTCGGCGGGCTTGTCGTGCAGCTGCGTCGTGTCTGACGTCGTGTGTATCTGACGCGCCCGCGTTGAGAGGGAGGCAGGCTGTAAGGAAGGGGGTTAGCTCGCGTTTTTGGAGGGAGGAAGGGAATGGGGGCGGAGAGCCATGCATGATGAACGATGGTGATGATGATGATGCGGCAGCGGAGGCGGAGGAATGGGACGTACGAGTCTACGAGCGATGCGTATCCGCGCCAGCGAGGCCATTTTGTGTGTCGGTGCGGAGACGAAAGGAGGAGGGGAGGGAGGGGGCGGTGGAGAAGGGTAGAGAGGGTGGTGCGACGCGTTGGGGAGCTTTCAATTTTATTACGCAACCAGAACGGACTGGGGTGCCATCATCGTGGGAATATTTGCTCTTTGCCGACATGCCTCCGCCCCGGCCCGGTGTCCCTTGCTTCTCTTATCGCAGCGTTTGCGCAGCGTCCCTGGCTTGAAGCTTGAAGCTATATCTATCCACTTCCTATGCGCCACTATGCATGTTCAAGTGAAATATAAACCCCACTATTTCGCCAATTGATAGAATGGATACGGCCGTTTTCGTTTCCCGTAGTTTCGACTCCCCGCATGCCCTCCGGATCCTCTCTGGTTACCTCGGTCTCTGCAGAGTAAGTTGCTGTGTGCTCCATTCCTTCCGCATGATTGCTCCGATTGCGTGCTTACTTCGCCCTTGCTACATCCTTGTCTCTGGCTTCTATGGTATCGCTAACTCTCCGATCAACCTGTGGTCAGAGAAACAACGTCAACCGTGCAGATCGATGAGGAAGAGATATGTACAGCCGATGGACTCATATTCTACTGCATTTGTTCTTGTTCGAGTGTAGTCCACACTCGATAACTCTTTCCTTTACTCTCAGCACACTGCTCAGGCTCTATGGAGCGGTCGCTCGACGTAACAGCACGGTGACTTTGTCGTTGACGGTAGCCCCTCTTCTCTGCTGGCCAATAAGGCTTCTGGAATCGCGAAGTCGGAGGCGATTTTCGGTTTAATTATATCGTTAATATCTGTAACGATTTTCTTCTCTACGAGCAATATTCATTTACGCTCTCCAATCCCCCGTGCCGAAATTTTGCTGCCTAGGAGGGGGTCGAGTGCATGCAGTGCCATGTAGACCACAATAAATTAGCTCATCCTCTCTACCTTCACTCTTTCACTCACAAAATTGCAGAAGCGACGGACACGAAAGTCGGACCGCAGAGAGGCGATCCATGGCGAGATTAGGAGAACTAATCTTATCTTATCTTTGGGACCATCTAGACCATGACGCGAAATCCCACATGTTCCTCTCTTTCTCTCCACGACGACGATGGGCCGTTCCTTCAAGCTCGACCACATCCCGGCTACCGATTCCTCTCGACCTTTACTTTCACCACGATTGGGACCTTCTTACCCACAAGATCTCCACGGATCACACTCTATGACACCGTTTTCGTCAGACGTAGAAGGTAGAATGGGATTCGTGCAGTCATATGGTACGTACGGCATTCTGTGTTATTCCAGCTCGGTGTTCACTAGGTGGCCTATCTATCCTGCTCGAGATCGCCTCGTCGGACGTCTCTACAACCATAAGCCTGGGCACGAATGTTCTCAACGTCCGGATATCTCTCCCTCCTCGAATCGCCGCCCAATTTCGTAAGTTCTTCACATTCCATCGACCTTCTTGACCCACATCTGATTACCCCTCCTAGTTTTTGAACACACGTAGCTCGTCGTCCCCCTGCATTTGATGTTCATCGATACTCATCCCAACCGCACCTCGTCACTTGCTACCCATATACACCACCTCTTAATCCCGCTTACCACTGGCCACGACGAAACCAACGAGCAGCTCCTGCGTTTCTCTCTCCACACTCTGACCCACCTCCGACGTTACCGATACGTGGGGTATCCGTGTGGTTCTCGGTCCGAAATTTAGCAGCTGCTCGTTTGTGCTCATCGCGGCCTATCCTTTCATCCTTTCGTCTTCGTCCACGACCTATATATCTCTCCTCGCTCGTCCTGGGCACGTCCTCGCTCATCTCTTGGGACCCTGAAATCCGTCTTCACTTTTGGTTTGGGCACAGCGTGAGGTACATCAGGAGGAAAGAGCGAGCCTCACCCACTAGCCCTCAGACACGATTCGCATTCGCCCTACTACATGTCGTTTTCATGTCTCGTCTGTAACCATGCTTTGAGTACCGAAGGTCGCTCTTTCCGCCTGGCCTGGCCTAGTCCAAGTTGACCTATACTCGAGCGTATCGTCCTTGTTTTTAATCCTGAAGCCTTTGCACCCCACACCCAATTTCTCGCGAAGCAGCAAAGGGCTAGACGCGAGGGTTTGATCTCTTTGTCTATGTTATGTGCGTCTTGCATTTGGCATTCGTCGCAACCAGGCGCAGATGGAAACCCCCCGCTGCAAGCTCTTTTCTGTGTACGTGAAACGTGGACCTAGTGTGCTCGATACATATATCCGCTGTTTTATGGATTATTATCTCTAGTTCTTCTTACCTGCCACCGTCGGTTAAATGACTGGCGACGCTTAGCTCGCCGACCTACATCTCATCGTACGGACCCACACGTGTCACGCGTCAATCGCTCGCTCGAGGGTACGCAAGCCCTCTTCCATCCATTTACCTTCGCCTGCGTAACACCTTTCTCTCCATGAACAATCTTCACTATGCTCCGCAACCGGCCATGCTGAAAGTTCATTTACTCGGAAGGGGTCGTGCACGAGGGCAGTGCCATCCAGATCGCGATGAACTCAAGAACACAGTCTAATGATACTTTCCCGCTCAACGTTGCCCGAGGGTGAACTTCGTAATTATCAACGCTTGTTGCAGGATCAAGACTATTATGGACATGATGCACTGGGTCGAGCTTGAGCAACAGGATCTTATCTCCAGATTGTCGATTTCGACGAGGCCGGTGAGAGTTCCTGAGTGCGCTGATGTTTCGAAGCCTCGAGCCCAGAGGAAAAATTCGTTAAGAAAGAAAGACGAGGAAATCTCAACGACCTACCTACCTGCCGCTGCCTCAGATCCAAAGGGTCATCGTACTCGTTCTGCTTTGGTCTCCGGCCATAATGCCATCAGGAACCACGAAGTTCCCTCCCTCCCTCTTCCTCTTCTTCCGCGTCAGATTCCCAACCTCAGGTAGGCTCTCCCATTCTTCGCCTCTGCACGCAGTTTCTGCAATTGAGGTCTCTCTGCCGCCTCTCTGGAAGGGAAAGAGCGCGACGAAGGAGAAGGACGAAGGAGACTAACCGTCAAACACACCTCCATATGTACGCCTCCGCGAATCCGTGGCGTCATCAACTTGTTCGAAGATTCGGTCGGCTTCTTCGTCATCTCGCTCGTAGGTTAGACTCGAACCCATTCTCGCTTGGGTTCACGGCTTCCTAATGGTGGGATTATTGTACTTACTAAAGAGAATGACACATCACTTTCCAAATCCCTGCCTTGGCACATGATGATTCCAGGACGGGTGGTGTCGAGCCTACTCGTAGGTTGTTCCCGCGAAAAGGCCGTAAGTACTTAAGTACTCGTCTAGGTTTCTGGTGTGGGTCACTGTTGTCACGCTGTGTGACTCGTTGTCTCCGTCGTCGCTCTTTTGCCTTCTACCACCATGACCGCGATCACACAAAATCTTCCTTGGTTCATAAAGGACCTCGGAATTTACATAGTGGGCAAGGTATGTTATTCAAATACGCGTAATTCCGTTCCTAACACGCCAATATTCCCCACAGGAATGCTACACGTCATTAGTCGAGAATCTCAACCTCACCGATGTAAAATGCTTAAAATATTCGCTCTCTAAAGGACTGGGTATCGGAATTGTCGTGGGCGGGTCTATCATGAAAGTGCCCCAGATCCTCCTCAGTGTGTGTTTCCTTTCTTAAATTTACGGACCTGAGCAGACAACTTTCGGAATTCATCCAGTCATTAACGCGAAGTCTGCTCGCGGTCTTTCACTGACGGCGTACATACTAGAAACGGTGTCATACGCCATCACGCTTGCATATTCCTTCCGACACCGATTTCCCTTCTCCACGTACGGCGAGAACCTCTTCTTGACCCTCCAAAACACGATCATCGCCCTCCTCATCATCTACTACGCGCCGGTTCGCAGAGCTCTCACACAACGCCAAGGAGACAAAACTCAGCAGCTCGCCGTAGCGTCCGCCTTCACACTCGCAACAGCGTTTGCGCTGCACACGCTTCCCATCTCCGCCATCGCCCTTCTCCAAACGACGACCCTTCCGTTATCATTATTCTCCAAGCTCCCGCAGATCCGACAGAACGCTCGGGCTCAAAGCACCGGGCAGCTCTCTGCCTTTGCCGTCGGTAGCCAAATTGCAGGATGTCTCGCCCGGCTCTTCACCACAGCGACTGAAGTTGGCGATTCGCTCATAGCAGCAGGCTTCGCTCTCGCGCTCCTGCTCAACCTCGTGCTTGGTGCGCAGCTCTGGATGTACTGGGGTCAAGAAGGTGTTGTCAAGGACGAATTCGGGCTGCGCGAGCGTTCGGAATATAAGGAAAGGGAGAGAGCCTCCCCTGTGCCTGCCTACCCCCCCGCGGTATGGGAGGCACAAGGTCAACCTCCGATCTACCAACCCGCCACACCGAGAGCTGCAGGTAACCCGGAGCCAACGAGCCACCATGTTGCTACGCCTCCGCCACGCACACCATCGTCCGCAGGAGGGAGAACATGGTCTCGGAAGGTGGATTAACTCGTTCTTTCTTATATCATTTCGTAATGGGTTGTAGTATTAATGATCTTCTTTTCCTCGCTTTCGTGTGATCCAAAATGTTCTGTCGGCCGTTCTTCTCTATCAACAACGTCGGCCATGCGTGAAACAGGCGGTTGTATATTCGTGTAGCGACAATATGGTCTAAGTCGATGGGCTATATGGTGTTTGCCATCGTCGAGGCGAATACGGCGGATCGGGGTGCGTGCTTAGATTTTCTATCAATAGCAGTGCCCTGATCAAGCTCTCCAGCCCGTGAAGCACTATTAGGCATGTGGATAAGGCTTTATCCTTCATGCTTCAAGTTCAGCCTGCATTCCACAGAATTCGACGGCCAGAGCAGCTCTTCGTCTAGCAATTTTGAGGTTCCAATCGCGTGCGCCCCTCGTGGTGTGCCTTCGAATAACGCGGAGGTTCCCGAAGTCTCGAACGACGAAGAAGGTGAGTTTGAGGTATTCACGTACGAAATCGCGTACTTATCTTCTACAGCCGCCTCACTCAGGGCGCTGTCTTTGCCCCCCCGCTCCTCCCTCCGACACTAAAAGCGTGGATGGCACATAACATGCACGAGGACCGGTGGGCAAGGTTCTGTCGGTGTATGGTGAGTTTCAACGTCTTCGTGGTTCGTGAGGAGCTTACCTTATCCCTAGGCCGTGTACGATGTTTTGATCAACAAAGGAGGGAGTCAAAGGCGTATCTGTTAGGCTGAGCGCGGGACCGCGGCGAGAAGGTATGTTCACGTTCATTTCATGCGTGGATCACTACTTACCCTCAGTCTAGCCACACTTTCACCCTCCCATTTTGTAAATCGCGATACTCATTTGCGACCCTAGAACTCTCCCGAATGCCCTCTCGTGTATGGTGCATCAAATATCTTCCCCACGGGCACCCCAGTGTCGAACGTCAATGAAAGGAGGAGGCCCGGGTGCGCATGAAAGGTGCTAGACTCTCGGCGTAGCTCGAAGCTCGTATCCCTGAGCGAGAGGTGGCAGGGTTCTAGCTCGTAGTGAGCATCCCTTATGGTCATTGAGCGCGAATGCCGTAGCACTCTTGAGTGCGCATCGGCGTCAGCGACGGGTTATCTTTTCGGGTGGATAAGGTAAGTCCAAGCTTATTTTGTCCTCAGATATGAGCACTCACGTTGCTTACAGCCCTTCGCGGCGATGATCACCCGTATTACGCACACCAGCACGGCCTCCTTCAAGTACAGGGTGTATTCACCATATGAGACCATGGAAGCGGTGCCACGTATCGCCTCATTCGAACGAGTTTCGGGCGTTCGAATAGCGAGTAAGGGCAGGGCGTCTCTGCTTGTATCGCCCATGCCGCTCTTCATTCCCCTCGACGACTTGCCTTCTCTTTCTACGCTGAGGATATGAAGGATATATTTTCCCTAAAAAAGGAGACCTGTTCTGTCGAACATATCGTAGGGCGGAAAATCTTCGGTGACGGGTATACGAGCGCATACAGCGTCGCCCGTCGTCTCCTTATGCTTTCTCCAGGATGGAGTCGGAGACATAACCTTGTTACCTCTCCGTCCTCCTGCTCCTGCTCCTTCTCCTTCATCCTCAGCCTCGCTGTAGCTTAGCGCTCCCGCTGAACAACTACACACTCGATCACAGCAAGTTGTTGGCGTGTCTTTCTTGTCTAGAGACACGAGAACACTCACATTGTTTATTGCCCTCCACAGTACGACCGCACGTACACACCTTCCGACCGTCCTCCTTTAAGTGCGGCGTGTGTTCATCGTACTGGCCGCGGAAAAGGCGGCACGTCCTCGTTTGAGCGCGCTTCTGTGTTCGAGTTACGAGGGACGAACGGCATGGAAGGGCGTGTGATCTTCACGAACTTTAAGGAACAGAATAGCAACACTCTCATCTTCAGGCTAAGAGTGGGTTGAGGCGAAGTCGCTCAAGTGCTTACCTCACATCACGGCTGTCGATCAACCAAGCCGGTGACCGCCTCGTGGGAGTCGCAGGTGATGTGACGTTTCGCGGTTTGTTTTAAACATTGTTTTCTTTTTCAACCACCACAAAGAATGACGCGTGACGAGCCCGAGGACCAGCACCAATCGAAGCGAAAACGGCGCAGGCAAAATGACACCGATCTGACGGACGAGGACATGAAGCTGAGACAGAAGTTCTTCCAGCTACAGAAGAACTGGGAGGGGATCGAGCAGTACCTTGCTGAGTATCCGGTGCGTCTATGGAATCACGTATTCCCTTTCTTTCCTGTTAATACTCGACAGCAATGCGACGAGTGTATTGGGCGCAAAATTAAGTGCGATCGCCGTCAGGATAGCCCTGCTTGTAATACCTGCAGGAAACGGAAGGTGCGGTGTCCTGCACCCGCCCAGTTCGCGGGCTGGAAGTTCTCCCCGGATGAAAAGGGCCGTGCGCTAGTCGCTGCCGAATACGATCGCCTCGCCCCTCGCTATGTTCGCAAGACTTTTGATCTCCAGGACTCGCCGTCACGTTCTCCGAGCCCGTCAGCATCTACATCTGCTATACGCGTTGGTGCTGGAGTGGAGCGGCAACCACCCACCGCGTCCCTGACCCACTCACCTCCCGGATTAGCCACAAGAAGGAATGCGGCTATGGCCATGGAAGAGGAGCTTCAGACCGCGAAACGCCACGTATTACGCCTTCAGGCCGAGTTAGACAACATACGCGCCGCAACCGAACAAGCCAGGCGCGGGCAACAGACTGCAGAACAAGAACTCGCCGATATGAGGAGGGAGTTAGAGGAGTTAAGGGGGCACGTAAGGTCAAACGCGCCGCCTCCAGAAGAAGGGCCTGTTCATGGCCGTTCTTCACAAGAGGAAATTCGCTGCATGGGCGAGCAGCTGAAAGGTGAGCTCCAAAGCCATTCCACTAATTGAATAACAAATTCTAAGGACCATGCTCTCAGACTCACAGGATAAAGTCGCCGAGGCGACGGAGAACTGGCAGAGGCTAATTACCTCCTGTACCAACGCCATCGTGCCCCTTCGCGTTCAGATTCAGAGTTTAGGTGCACCCGGAAAGGAAGCTCTGGCCATTCTTGACTCTTTCGCTGTGACGGTAACCCGCCACTTGTATGCCCAAGACCCGACGCACAAAACCTACTTTCAGGGTACAGATGTCGACCCTGTTTCCACGCCTGTAGTGCGGCCTCCACGATCACGTATCCAGAGCCGAAAGCGGAGGCAGGAGGACAGCGACACTGGTGGGCCCTCATCAAACAGTGAGCATCAGTAGGGTAGGCTCGCATCGACGTAGCGCATTCATGTTTCCTGTACTGCTGAAATTTGCTCGTGTCGAATGTACGATGTGCGGCTCTCCTTGGGTAACATATTTTCATCTTCTTCTGATGCTATTCTTCCTTAATAAGATACGTTCAGTTATTCTGCGTTCCGACGGTCAATAACGCAAGAGTTGCTCGATAAGAGGTTCGCTCTAATAATTCACTCAAACAACTAGTTCAGAACGACATGATACACTCTCCGCGCCGTCGAAAACCTTTCATCGATGAACATGTTTTGGCCTTTTCTATTGAATCGCTCACGCTCGTTCGAAATCAGCCTGCGCGTAGCTTCGAATTCGTGAACGACAAATGTATTTCATCAATATTCTATCACAAAATCAGCATGATCGTGCCCGCTCTATCGCTCTCCCCGTTATTCCTATACTCTATGCACATCGTCATGTTCCCCAGACTAGCCCCGTTTCTGCTTTCTTCGCTCCTCTCTTCAGTTGCCAGATGCATGGACCGGTGATTGTAAGGGGGGTGGGCGTAGCGAATGCGAAGCTGGGAGCTCTCAGCCAACGAATGTGCTGCTGCGAACTACCCGATTCGAGTCACCGACGAAAAGTCGTAGGGTGCGAGGGCCAAAGGCAGAATGAAAGACCTAGGAAAAAGGAACGGGACATGCATAAGTCTGCATTTAAATCGAGAAACTACTTTACATACCATTTTCGTCTTCGCCCGCTGTGACAGTGTGAAACTCGAATACACGTCGCGAAAGACGTCTCCAGTCTTTGGACAGGGAGTACGTCAATGCCCCAGAAGACTCTGGAAATGTCCAGCTGAAATACCCGCGCCCACAAGCCATATGCTGTAGTCAATTTGGATAGACGTTTCTCTTTTGTGGTACATGCTCTCGACTCTTCGCGAGAGTGGGACGAGTGCACGGGGGGTAGGAAGGGTAGGAAGGGCAGGAAACGAGGACAAGAATAACGTTGATGCCACAAACTACGTGCAGGGGGGAATAGCCCTGAGAATCACCGTCTTTGTTTCCATGGGTGGCCGTGGAGAGTCGCCTCATATCCAACCACAGTCTGCAGCACGTCCGAGAGACGCGTGCGCTGCAGGCGGATACGGCAAATCATCCATTCAATCTACTCTTTTTCTTCCGTGGGAGTCTCAAACGTTGGCCGGGTCATTATCGACGACTGCGAACGAGTGCTCGCGGGGGCAGGACCAGAGAGAGCAATGAGGGGAAAGAGGAACGAGGAACGAGCAGGGGCTGCTTTTCAGGAAGACCAAAACCACCATGACGAGAACGATCCAACGTCTTGATCAGCGAAGATGAGGGTGATCGTGAAGGAAATCAGAATGCAGCAGTGCTCGTTGAATCAGTCCCGATTCACCCAATCTGCATCGCAGGAGTATCCTCAATGGATGGGCAGGATCAAGTCAAGAGAGATGGACAGACAATTTGAACCTGTACGCAGAAACACAACCTCAATGGGGAGTCGATCAGCAAGAGAACAGAAGATAACGAAGGGGCGATTGTGCACACACCAAGACGTCTCACAAGTTCGTTCAGCGTGCTTGTGGGCTCATTGTTAACCTTTGTTTTTCGCTTTCCCCCTGACAGAAAACGATGGAACCCTCCAATCCCTACTATAGTGTCTCTCGAGAGCTATCAGCCGAGGACTCGTAACTGTAGGCAGCTCGTTCGAATATGAAAGCGATGAGCATTGAAAAGGACGTTCAAGATTCAGTTGACGAGAGGTGGTAGTACTGGTGTGAGAGCGACATTCGAACAACACTTTCGCGCTGTTCGCCTTGACACGCGCCCCGTTTCGTATAAGTTACGGACAATTTCCCTTGCATGGGATATTTCTCCCCTCACCCACTTCTCTCGCGTTCAGGTCTGCGCGCTCTCAGCGCTCTTTCATACGCATAAATGCCCGCCGTCGCGCAACTATAGAAGTCCCGAGTCCTGGAACTACATCCGTGTATTCGTTGTTTACACACGGGAAATTCAGAAAAAGCTCGTTAATAACTCTCGATTGATAGTGGAAGTATTCCCGGCCGACATAGCAGCCGGGTAACAACAGCGCTCTGATGTTCATCGAGCGTATGAATTAACTTATCACGACCACAAGCCCCCACCGGCTCTCAGCTTCCTTCTATGAACTTTCAAAATCGACGAGCAAATTGGCGGAGCAGAAGGACATATGAACATTTATTGTCGACACAAAGCGGTCTCGAGTCGAGCTTCAGAACGAGAGAGGAGGGCCGAAAGGCGAACCGCATGATGGAAATATCTCATTGGCTAATCTCAACATCGAGCTACACGAGCAGCGATCCGTCCGTGATGTACAATGCAAGGAGTGGCGAGAGGTGTGGACGGTCGAGGACAGTAAGATCAGATTCTGAAACCTGGACGGCATTCGACAGGACCGTGTGATTTACCTTCTACTTTCGTTCGGCACGCCTTGAGCCTCCCACGTTGTTCCTATCTTCCACTCCTCCTCCACGATGGACCCCGACAGCGCCGGTGTAAATCTTACAACTACCTCTCCTCCTCTTCTAATCCTCCATTTCGATCCCTTTACGATCCCAATCTTCAATCGGACACCATCATTGCCTTGTAGGAGGACTATGTGGATGAGATAGGGCAACATGGGTACACTCCTGTGCAGTGGTAGAGGCGGGTGCACCGGTAGGCACACGCTCCATCCTTGTTCCTGTCCTGACGAAGATTATCAGCCCATCGTACCACCGGAAGCAACGGCCCATCCTCCCGACTCTCGACTCATCCGTCGTGGTTGATCCTCTCCCTCCCGCGTACGATGATGTTCTACCCTCTCCACACCGTTCTACCCTCCGATAGTGCCATACCCCGTCTTATCCATCTCTCGTCCCTGCTCCGGGTTGTGCTTCGTCGTTTCCTAGACCGTACGAGATTTCGTGTCTACGGACATCTGTCCTCGAAACCGTCACGCATCTATGACGTGAAGAATGAGCAAGCGGGTGCACCACCGAGACGAGATATTCCTCAGCACCAAACCGCCTCCACGCCCTTCCTTTGAAGGGCGTTGGCGGATTTCTGATACTTACTTTTCCTCTTCTGTGGCATCCCGCTTCCGCTTCCTCTTTGTATCATGCTTTCACCCTGATTCTCTACTATATAATACGCCGTGCATCTTCCCAGCTTTTGATTTCTCGCTTTCTAGGCCCTCTGAAGAACCCCAGGAGTCTACCATCGAATTGAGAGAAGAGAGTGGAAATTCCTCCGTCACACTTCGATCACGGTGTTTCGATGAACTCTCGTCGAGACGAGGAGTTCTTTGTTCAGGATTTCTTCAACTAGCTCCTGAGATCTTTGTGGTCTCGCAATCGAACTCCATGGGCTTTACTCAGCGCACGATCTAATCGGCATTCTCTTGAAACTGTCTGTACTATTGTGAATCAAGAGAACATCCACGTCGCCGTTCCGTGACATTTCGTTTCGCAAGTTTGTATGTTGACCGCATGTACACTCCCCTTCCTCTACGTCTTAATCTAGCCATGTATGGCATTCGAGGAATTCCGAGCTTCGTTCAATCAGATGGACATTCAGCAAGAATAATATCTCATGAGTACACTGACCTTTTGCCTATTCTAAAAGTACGAAATTCTCTACCGTTCGAACAAGCGCATGAAACAACAAATTTTTGGGATAATCGAAGTAAGTGCATGTAGTCTATGAAATCAAAGACATCCGGGATGTGCGATTAGGTTTCAAGACTTAGAGAATCGAAATTTTACCAGGACCCGGCAGTGAAATAATAAGAGAGTCATCCAACGTCCTAGCTATTCTCATCGCCCGAGAACCATACTGCTACAATTGAAGCCAAGCACCCCAACCGGAACTCTTATCAAGTTAGAGGCGGTGGGGGCTAGATGGCGGAGAAGAATGGGATCGGGGCAATGAGGACGATTCAGCATAAGATTGGCAGACAATTTCTCGGGCGGAAATAAGGAGGATGAGCCTTCAGATGGCACGTTTATAGGGCGAGGGAGGGGCGGCCATACAAGGGACGTCCTCAATCTCCCACCAACACGATATCCGCCAATGAACAAGGCACTACTACACGGAATGGGGTAAATGGCAGCGAACAGATAACATTTCTGCGAGATATACATTTCGGAAGTGACCAGCGAACACCGGCGGAGTTGAGCGAAGAGACGAAAAGGACAGACACAAGTGAAACATACGAAACCAGAGAAAGGATCACGAGCAGAAAGAGCAGGACTAATCTGTCTGCACCCGAGGATATCGGTGTCGTGTATTGGCATCTCCAGGTGGTTCGAACCACGGATATCCGTCAGCGACCGAGCAGGGTCCTGCTCTTCGCTCTGTAATCCACTGTGGTTGCAACGAAGAGTGGAAGCAACGAAAAGAGCGATATCAGTGTGGCGAAAGAAGCACGGTGTGCGAAAAGGGAGAAGGAGAGGCCTGCAACCCAAATTGATGTGTGCCCGAGGTAAAATGAAAGATCAAATATACGACGTTGCGAGACGGTCGTACAATTGGAAGGAAACAACTTTGGCAGAACGTAGAAAAGCTTCTTGTCTCGGGTCGACTGGGCGTAAAAGCGTACGACATCGTGACCAAGGAGTTTTATGGTATCTGCCCTAGTCTTTTCCTTCACAGCCGTAGATGTCCAACGTTGCTTGAGATTTCGTCGGAGAGCCAGATACTAAGGAGACATATAGTCCCGGCCGTCAAAAGATATGGGAGAAGATGGGTGGAAGCGGGACAAAATGGGAATAAAAAGGAAACAAGATATCACCCAGGACTCGGAGCCACCAGAAGCTGGCCCACACCCCCAGAATGACGACGCGCATTGAACTTGCATCTGGAGAAACACCGGATAGGGAGCTTGCTGGTTCCAACACCTCAAATATCCCGTGATGCCGTTCAGTACCGCAAGAGATATGCGTCTCATTAGGACGTGAGTAGAGATAGAGGTGGCAACAAAGATCAACCCGAGAATCGCCGACACGACGCCAAGAAACGAGCAGCGAACCAGGCCTACCAGACAACAGTTAACACGCAAGAGAAGCCCTCATCTCGAAACAACGAGGGCAGTCTATAACGTGGGCAGGTCGCATGGACTGGAAGCCGCTCGTTTTCGACATGGTGGGGCGGGGTCGAGAGATGCACATCCGCGAAGAAATAGATGTATGGGAGGAGCACTCCGGGTTGAAACCGACGATTGCCAGAGATCGCGATGGAAGATGCGAATCTAGCTGCGACAGAGGGGTGTACGACGAGACAAGAATGAGTGCGAATGGTAGAGGAATAGAAAGAGTAATAGTGCGCACCAGTAACAACTCCTCGCGGGTAATCTCTATCGCGCCCCCACATTCCAACCTCGAGTCGTCCTGCGTTGGTAGAGTCGTTTGTGACGAAACAAGATCGGCGACTTATCGCGATCAGCATGGCCTTATCAGAGCTCGAGTACCGACAGTGGGAGAAAGAGGACGGTGAAGGTTAGAGACAAAAGCAGCGTGGGAGGTTCGGCCGACGCACGGGCTCCGAGCTGGTTCCCATTTCGGGCGAATTGCGGCCCGCAATGGCGCCTCCACGGCCGAGCACACAGGTAACTTTCATGAAAACTTGCGGTACTTTTCCATGATTCTATTAGATTCGACTCGCCACCAGATTGAGATATGCCTACGATGTTATCGGGAGCCACATGAACTCGAACCTCTATCTTGACTGCCACGGAAGACTCGCCTGGCAACTCGCTCAGGTCTCAAGCCTCTTCCTCTTCCGTAAATTGGGACTATGGCTTCACCTCGTGAGCGCCTTATGTGATTATATTAATGTAAAAGAGCGACTGACACAAAGAAGAGTTATATTCCGAGATAAGAGACCGGTCGCGTGGAAGTTCTGCAAGGTGAAATCAGCACGAAAACATCGACGACGCGGGTTGTACTTGGGAGGAAAGGATAAGACGGACAGAACCTTCCATTCAACTCCAGGCAAGTGTGACAGCCCTATACTAATAGAAGGCGCGGTATCCTCGAACAAACGAAAATACAACATATTTGTCTGGGAACCGTAAATCGAGTACTATGCAAGAAAAATGATCAGCGCTCATCGGAACATGAAGCATAAAGAAAAACGAGGTCAAACAGAAATACCAGAACGCAGACTCGCCAACCCATAAGCAGAATCCCCGCTCTGCAGGTACCGCAAAAAAGAAGAAATATCTCGTTCGAAGGGTTGACATGCGGGCTGAGCGTGATACCTATAATCAACGGCGAATCCGAAGATTTCCATAACATTTATTTGGCTCCGAGTTACCTCGTAGAGCCCGCAACCACAGCGACGAACGATAGAGGAGAAAATACCGGTCTCTTCCAACTGAGTATATCCAGGAGCAACCACCAACGTTCGACCAATGTGTGTGGTGTTCGGTCTGGATGGACATGAGGTGACCGGGTCTTTTCTCCTCCGTTCGATGGGGTTGGTGTGAGAGAGAAGGGGATGGAGAATGAAGCGGGGTGAAGGCCGAGGTGAAGAAGAGATTGATGCCTGCGCTGATACAGCTTGGGTGCAAAAAAGAAAGAAAGAAAGAAAGAAAATTCAAGGAAAATTATAGCGTCCATGGTGGGGCGGGAGAGAGGAAGGAACAGTGCAAAGAATGAATTCGAGCTCCTCGTCAATGGTGAGGGTCCACGAGAGCGCTTCGACCCATGACTGAGGAGTTCTAGTGCCGCCGTGTCTCGTTCCTTCCAATTCGAGCGGTACCGCGAGTCAGACGTTTGAAGGGAAAGAATCCATAAGGCCGATCGAGAAGAAGGACAGAAACATAAACGATAAGCCAGTACTCTCTTCCACCTCTTTCCCGTCCGTATGGAAGCGCGAGTTCGGTGTGAAGGGCCCATCAGTCCGTCACCCACTCGCCCGTTCCTGCGCTGAGACCGAGGGGAAAGATAACAACATGCGCATGGACGGCGCTCGTGGGACGTTGGAGGAGAAAGAGACGAAGGCAATCAGGGGCTATAGAGGAAGTAGGGAGATGCCGATGTAAGAGAGAACCATGGGTGGACTGGGACGGAACGAGCAGTGGAAGAAGCGAGATTGGAACTACACTACGGAAGTGAAGTCAACATCATGCCTCGACAGGAGGGTGATCACAAACGTGGACACATTCGCTCCTGTCGCTGCTTGTTCTCGGATCCAGGACGCATGAAATATCTATAAAATATGAACGCGATGAGCGGACAGGGGATGCAAAGGGCGGATGGGAGATGAACTCGATAGGGAGGGAGCCAGGGAAGTGGCTGAGGGCAAAGGCGACGATTATTCGGGATCGATACGTCAGATACTGACCAGGATAGCGCGAGGTATACGATATATAATTCAGCCTGAATTAAAGCACTTAGACAGGTAAATCGTACGCACCAGTTGTCCCTCCTTGTCACCCGACCACCACTCGGCCGTCTTGGGGCGAGGATACTCGAAACAGACCGACGCTTTCGAGACTGGTCAAAGAGGCGTACGAGACGAGAAGATTACGCAATGAATGGAGCGTTACAGACCAGAAGAGGTGTGGAGAGTGCAGCAGTGGGACGGAAGGCGGCGAGAGGACCATGGAGGCGGAAGGGAAGAGTCGAAGAGTCGAAGCAAATGTCCGAAACGACCGATAAGGTCACACGGTCATACCCTCGCCCAGTTATTCGGCGTCATCGGAGTCTTCTTCTTTCGACCGCCACTTCCTTTCCGTCCAGCTCGAACGCCTCACTTCCATTCCTTCTATACGCCTGTGCCAGCCAACGCCATGTGCCATCTCCTCAAATTCGCCGATTCGTTCTAGTCATCTTCGCTCAGCAAGATTCGAAAGCCCAAACATCGTTCATTCGTGCTGCGCTGGCGGTAGTAGCTTTTTGGGGAATGGCGCTGGGTGCGCTGACCCCCCCTCTCTCACACGATCTGCGACAATTGACATCCTTTATTTACCTCATCTGTGCGATGCCACAACGATCTGGGCCCACCACCCTATAGGATCCACCATCACTGATCGATATCTCTCGCAATCTCGCAATCTCTTCCACCATCTGCCTCCCTCGTCGCTCCCTCCTACTTCTCCCATTCCTTCTCGAACTTCCTCCTCGTCACCTCGCTCCTCCGCCCTCACCCTCATGTCGACCTCTCTCTCCAACACCTCTCCTCTTTACTGGATCCGATGCGCAGTCCCTGATCTTGTGCATCTCTGATGCGCAGGCAGCAGCCCTCCACCTTTACGAGGGGCTTGTTCGTCCATAGCGTCGTGATAACTCAATCCGTCAGTGGTTGCGCACCCCGCATCCTAGTTGTCATGACGCCATTCTACTCTCCTTCATCCTTGTCGTGCATGGTGGCATAGCCCCTATTCTCTGCCGATCCTCGCTGCCGTTTCTCTGGCGTGCTCATGCCTCGTCCTCTGTCGTTCCGTGCCCTCCGTCTTCATATGCTACGCCCTCGTCCAAAGCGAGCAGAAGCACCCGAGTCTCCGACGCACGTACCTCTTAATCTGCACTCCTCGTTCGAACTTCGAACCGCCCCAGTCCGTTCTTTCCCCCATTCCGTCTCCATTTCGGCTCTGAAAACCCTTCGTAATTGTCCTCTGGTTCCTTCCTTCTTCCTTCCTTCTTTTGCGGTTGGATCGTGGTGGTGTATCGTGAAGGTTGGATGATTTCACGATGGTAACACTAATATCTAGGCTACTCCACCCGTCCGCCATCCCCTTTGAATCTTCCTCTTCTATTCCGCATACTCTCTCGGTCGATTCCCTTCTTTCATAACCAAGAGCGTCGTTCTCTTTTCCGTCGCCCTTCGTCTCCCACCCGCTTTCCCGCTTCATAATCACCAAAGATCGACAACAGGACCCCGATGACGATAGGTACACTCTTCCCTACCCACACCATACCACCCGCGTCGGATAGACGTTGGGGATAACGGGTGGCTATTACCACCAGCGTAAACCTTGATCATCGGTGTCCTGTTATTTTCGTCTTCCGTACATGGAGGGGCTCTGTTCCATTTACTGCTTCGAATCGCGAGATGCGCTATAACTCTGTACGGAGCCAGGGGGTGCGACTCTCGTTATGGCTGAGTCATCTTTGTATCGTGAAAATGGCCTGCTCTCCACCACTTCTCTTTGCTTACTGTCTTTCAATTCAGTTCAATTCAATTCTTGAACGCTCGTCGTTCCATTTTCTTTTCTCCCTCGGGGAGCCTTCGGATAAATTGTGGATGTTACCGCCCTTTCCTCTCCATCTCCCTCCTTCCACATACCTTCCATCACGACGAAAAGAAACACAAAGAGCCACCCAGCGTCCTTGCGAATCTGACTCTATCTTTACCACACCTCCCGCTGTCTGCGGTGACCGGTGGGGAGAGATAAATGATTATTATCTCTCGCTTAAGTGCTGGAGGGCTCTTTGCTGCGCTCTGTTTCTCTATGATGCGTCCCATGGTGCCTTTCCACACACCCCACTGACTCGGACTTTCAGAGTACATGGCATCGATATCATTTTCTGGCTGTTTAATCTACGAGTCAGCACGCTTCGAAGTCAGCACGCCTCGAAGACCCTCGACCGTTCGTACCGCTCAGATCTCTCCCAATATACTCGCCCTTTTCTCTACGCGGGAATGATCTCCTCGATTCTCGTATTTCCTAATTATTATGACCTTGAGCCGGCAGCGGAACACGATTCGTCTTCACGAACCTGAATATATGCGCTGTTCCAACTCTTCGAGCATGTAAGAAAGAGGCGGAACTCGGTGAACCATAAGTATGAAGGCACGGCGTCGATTGTCAAGAAGAAAAGGGTACAGTTTCAGCCAGCATATCCTGCTGCAGCCACAAGCGCACACGCGGGGCTTGTGGTATGCGCCATGGAACATTTTCGGGCAGTCCGTCTATTTTCTTCGCCTTGCATCGCCAGCAGAGAGAAATGACAATAGAGAGGGAAGGGAAGGGACAGGGAAGAGAAAGCGACAATATGAGAGGCAATTTTAACGTCTGAGAGGCAACCCGGAGGAGACAATGTAGGAAGTCGAATCGAGGTCGTTTGCTCTAAGGAAGGACAGTGATGAGCCGGCTCTGCTTCTAACCCCGGAAATCACGCAAAACGGCTCTTTCAAACACTTCGTCATCGCGATCTGGGTTCACCACACCTCCGACACCTCGTAGACGCGTCATAACAATCACCCAAGCGACTCAATAGGCCACAAATGATCACTCAGCAAGCACAGCTATCCCCGTGACCATCACCAGCTCTCTCCATGTGCACGAAGGCGCTCGGCGCGCCACTCTTTCCGCTTGAGGCAAGTCTTGCTACCTCCCCTGCCCCTTGCCTCGTCGTTTCATCTCTTATTCTCTTTTTCCTTCATTCATGTTTTATAAAATTTCTCTTTATCTTTATTCCTGAACCCGGTTCGGCAACGCACTCCCTGCCGGTCTCCCTTTTTCTTCATAGTATAAAAACCTCTGTATTTCGTGCTTTTATGCAATAACACACAGTTCCTCGTCTCATTTGCCCACTCGGGGCACTCGTATCTCATCCTCGCCTCTCGTACTCGTCGTCTCTCGCCTCTCAGCCTCGTTTCGACTCGCCGCCTCGACCCGCAGTCACCTTGTCTTTCGAATTCGCCGTCATCGTCGTCCCATTCCCACGCTTAGCGCCCTCGTTCGTAGTCCGTCTTCGAGTCGTACGAGCCCCCTGGTTAGAGCCGCACAGCCGTGGAACTCGTCCTCGCACCTCAGAGCCGCTCGTTACGGTGTTTGGGTGTGTGTTTCTCCTTTTCCTTATCCACACGATCACCCCGCTGTAGGCACATCAACAGGCAGAAGGAAGGGAAAACAGGTTACGAGACGAGATAAATCCTTGTCTCGGTGATGGCCCATGATAGGCCTATTACCTCGAACAAGGAGTGTACTCCGGAACCTGGTTCTCTCCTTCCTTCCTTTGATGTCGGATCTCAAGGAAGAGAAGGGGGAAGAAAGGGGAGTGGACAAAGGAGAACACAGGACGGATATGGTGCAAGCATTCGGCCTATTTCCATGTGCTGAAAATCGAAAGCAGAAGCCCCATGGAGGATGTAACCTGGCCACACTGAGACGAAACGAACAGCGACCTCTTTATCACGAAAAGTACACCCACAGAAGAGAAATACGGCCTCAAAGAAAAGAGGGTTCTCGTAAATGTGGGGGATGGCGTGGGCAGCACTGCTCGTTATCGGTCTCGTGGTGAGCTAGGGGTCGGTAGAGGATGGGACAGGGGGGGAAGGGTTCCGAAGGCGAGTGGATAGAAGGATAGGAGTAATAGAGTAGGTTGAACGATGTTCTGGGTGGCGAATACCCGAGATTGATACCCAAGGCGTTGAATCGATCTACCTAGATAAGATGACATTCTGTTGGAAAGAAACGAGTTTCACGGATGTAGTGTGCTCACCAGATGTCACATATTCACAGATCCTCCTCGTTTCACCCTGCTCTATCGTCCTGAACTCATCCATCACGCAGAGAGGGCTGAAAAGCGGGAGATAAATGTTGATCTGAGTCTTGATCGTCGCCTCGCGAGAATGCCTGATGGCCCGAACTGGGCAAGGAGAATGTAAGGTACACAGAGAATGACGAATTTCTGGATGACGCGGAGGAGCCGTCGGTGCGAGAAAGTCAACGAGAGAATGATGGAGGCAAGAGGCAAAAGCAACCTTCAACAGGCCCGAAGGCCCAAAACGACGACATAATCCCACGGTCACGTCACCACTTCGGGCCTCGGGTATCCAACATCAGCTCGTTTTCCTCTTGTCGTCCACCCACTCACGCGCACGATTCGTCCTGCTCGAGCTCGTCGAGGCCTTTACCATTCGAGCTGTATCCAATTGAAAATTCTTTTTACCACCTCTAGCTTCTCTATTCGCTTGGGTCAGCGTCGCTCACCAGGCTCGAGGAACAGTGTGGCTTTGTGTGAGCACTGAGGGGCTGGAGATGATGATGACAGGATCTTCTGACGGATTGGCTGCGTTCCAGTGCGTGTCTCTTCCTCAACCATTCCACAGATTCTGTGCCTCGTCCCTGATGTCCTCGATTGCAGATCAATCCATCAGACTCAACGTCATCTCCCCTTCACCTGCATCTACAACTGCACCTCCTCACTCCCTTCTCTCCACCCTGCACCCTCACTCACCTTTCCACATTATTCAACAGCCACATTTTCCCGCACTCTCTTCCCCCCCGCTGATCCATTCTGACACGCAGATGCTCTCCCTATCGCTCTCGACGCAAGAATTGACCGCCCCATGCTCTTTATGAGGGGTTCGTCGTTCGTGGTGTCTAGGTGCAGTCGACAGTCGAGAACGGAGGCGCTGCGTGTCTCCGAGTGACTGACCAAGACATAGCTCTTCCTTCCCCCGTCGTTTCGTTCGCAGATTGCTACATGCCTCCTCCTGTCCTCCCTCGACCCATGCTCGCATGAACAACGGGATGCGGCTCCCATCCTCATACCGACAGGCAGATGACTCTCTCAAGACGAGTGCGAATGATCTTCGCACTCTTCTAGAAAGCAGTTTGCCGAGGAATGTGAGTGAGAATCCACATATATGCCAGGAATACCTGACCCGGCCATACAGTCCTCGAGATGCGGACCTCGGCATTTGGGATCTGCATTCGAACTGCACTCGGACCCCACACCACGCGAGGAGTCCTACTTCTCGTGCAGTTCTCAAAAATGCATCAGTGGCTCATTTCTGTCTTTTTGTTTCTTCTACCCATCTCTCGTCCCTCTCTTTCCGTGTATACCTTTCGCGTTATCTTATTGCCTTCTGCCCCCGTCTCCCAGTTCACTGTCAAACGCAGGACACCGGCTATGAGTGCTGTACTCTACCGCCTCACCCGCGTCGAGTAGACGTCGGGAACAGGCAGGTATGTTGAATACGCACCCTAGTGTCCTCGGTGTCTTGCTCTTCTTGACCTAGTAAGTGACCATAGACGGTGCCGAGGCTGAGGTTTCGCAGGGGAACTTTGTTCTGTCGCATTATCTTCTGCTTTAGAGTACGCTTCAAATATTCTAAGATCAAGCCTGGCTTATGACATCTGTGCCTGTCTCATGGATGTTCAGAGGGTAGTTTGACACCCTCTTCCTCTCTCCTCTCTTGCTGCAGCTCCTCGAAGACCTTTTCCCACTGAATCGCTATTCTTACTGGGAGGATGGCCGAGATGGATCTTTGAGTGGGCATTGGGCATGTTCAGGTGCGTCTGGCTTCATCTATGGTATCAGACACTTTGTCCGTACCCCTCGTTCTCTCTTTTAGATCATCTGTACCTCGGATCCACCTGCCAGATTTCCGTCATTGTCGATATTGCCTTCCACCGGGCCACCGCCTCGTCGTCCCACCCAAGCTCTTCCTCTCTAAATGACAACTACACCCCTCTCCATATCTTCCTCTCCTAATAACCGGTTTACCCATGACGACTCGATCCGACGTGCAAATCCTCCGCGTATCATCTTGACACATATACGATTGCCCCCGCCCTTTGCGAGGCATTCAATCGTTACATGTCTGAAGTATGTAGCGATAGATCTGCAGGTCTACGATGTTGTTTGTGGCACCCGGCTGTCTCTCCATTGCTGCGCCAACAATATTCAGACTATGGCCGATGATAGACTTACCTCTCTGATCCTGCTCCTTTTGCAATCCTTTCTCTACGTGTGTCACGCTTCCTCATTCTCATTATTTTCCTCTGGATTTCCCTTTACGTCCTACCCATTGTTCGCTCTTCCTTCGACGCCATCTCATTTAATTTCCAGTTTCGCCTTCCACCCATTTGCCCACCGTTCGCGATGCTGAAAGATGAGCAGCGGGACACGGATGATCATAGTTGCGCTCTATCCGTTTAGCGTACTTCCATCGTCCTCTAGACGTTGTGAGGTATCAAGTGGATATCTCAAATGCGTGGATCCCTCTGTGCCCCCCAGCTTCGCCCACCTCTAAGTACGCCATGTACGGCATCGTCTTACTCGAAATTCACCCGATGAAACTGACATTTCCTCATCGTTCAGAGCATCGTTCGAGGTACGCGTGTCAAACGGGCAGTCCAGCGGTTGGCACTACCTTGCATATATTCTCTCGCGCATGGGTACTATATAACCACGAGAAATATTACTCAAGGTGCCATGGTCTGTACGCGGCCTGCTCGCTGCTTCGTACGCTGCTTCGTACGCTGCTTCAAAGAGAGCCCTCGTTTTGTACAACTCTGATATGCAGACTCTTGTGGCAGAACATTCCTGCTTCGAGCGAAATAAAGTCTGCGAGAGTACATTAGACAATCCTCTTTCTTCTCTCTCTTCATGAGTCGAGATAAATTAGCGCTCGTTCATAGTTCGAGAATCAGACAGTACTCTCGTACTACCACCCATCCCCAATTCCACGGCAAATGTCCGCCTACGGTCGCTCGGGAATTGGATACCGTCACTGACAATGTGAGGAGTACAGCGAAATCATACCCTCTTCTGTGGCGTACTCCTTTAGCTTGTCTCGTTTATATACCTGATGCAAATATGCTCCACCTCCTCTCATTGCGATCGTCGGACACTTTCAGTCCAAGAACGTAGACTGTAGTTCTCAGATATTAATATTTTCGGCTGGCAAGACCGCCGGACCGAGTACAAAGGTGCCATTCTTCCAACTACCTGCCGCTAGGGTGTCAAAAACGTGCTCTGTGGATACAAATTTAATTTGAGGGACATAACAACACACCACCCATTATAACTAGCGCAGGATGATGGTAACTCGAACTATTCGCGCAAGACAATCTCGCGCCCTCGGAAAAAGGAGCATGACGTAGGGCGAATAGTGAAAACTTATATCCAGATCAAGCCACCGATGTCTAGGAGACACTATGATCTTTGACGTGGATAAAAGCTAATTCATCCCAAGCCATGCTTTTGTTCTCTTTGGAAGCGCGGTTGTGCGTTCTCTTGTGAGATTTGGAAACACGAGAAGGAGATGATAAAGGTCCCGGAAATGGAAGAACACCAGAGTCTACGCAAACGGCGAGCACTCATGAGAGCGCAATGTCGGGACCAAGGAGTGCGTTTAAGTATTTCCGAACACCACCCGCTCCTCCTCAAGGGACTCTGAGAAGCGTATTGGCCCTCAAAACGCCCTCAAAACGGATTTGTCTCGTCTGCAAACGGCGAAGCCGGCAATCGAGGAACGAAAAGACCAAAACATATGAACGAAACCCGAAGCGAAAGTTTCGATGGGTAAATGAGCAACGTTGAGCGCCAAAAGTGAAAAAGAAATGTTTAGACGAACATGGCAACAGCGCGAATAGTACACGGAGAGATAACCACGCCAGCAGTCTCGAACTTGAATAACAGACAGAAACTCGGAGGAATCGAGCCCAGCCGTCGAAGGCCAACAAACATCGTTGTATCCAGCCATAGAAATTCCAACAGCTCCTCCTGAAATCGGAGCACAGGGCGGGGACGGAGAGCGGATAATGCGAACCATTCGAGATAGGAGACACGAAATGATGAAATGAATGCTCGACGCACAATGAGAACTAGCCAAGCAAACCACAAAACGAAACGGGAAGACCAAAGCTCGATGGAAAAGAAGGAAACGGCCAGCCACAAGAACACAAGGAAGAGACCGACGAAGGGAACACGTACCTAGCATCCACCACATTCTAATAGCCCGCGGCTCGTCTTGGGCCCGTCTGTCGTAAGTTTTGCAAATTTGCATGACACGCAAGCACCGTAACGGAGATCGACGTCAGGTTGTTATCGACTGCCGCGACGCTGTAGAATAAGAGGATATCGAGCTCGAGCATAGCGCTCGTGCGGCATTTCGTACCTGCGACGGAGACAAAAAGGCGGATGAGGGGAGAGATAAGGTGGAACGCGTGACTGACATGCAAATAGGGGCCGCATATGCGATGAGGTCGGGGAGTAGGCCTGGGCGGAGGAGAATGACGACGAGGTATGGTGGTTTCGCTGAAGACGTGTAGGGGCAGAGGGTGTAGTTGACGCATCGAGCCACGAGGACGAGTCCCCCTCCATTTCGGTGTTGACGTCCGCGTCGGTGTCCGTGCCCGAGTTCGAAACTAATCCTGAGGTCATGCTTGAGGATGCAAATGGCGATGGTGAGGTTGAAGTTGAGCTTGACGTGCAAATGGGAATAGAAATGAGAGCAGGACGTGTGTCTAAGAACGACATCACGCTCTGCTCGGGCGGCGAACGGGTGGAACGTGAAGACGGCGATGTTGTGCTAGTGCATCACGAGGTGGGAACGGAACGGTCGTCACGAGTGTGGTATGGCTGGTGCCGTAGGTGTATGCGCCTCTAAAGGAGGCCGTGGAACGTCCAACGGACGGCTGCCGGCCACCACCAGCGTCAGATCCTCCTCTAGCTCTTGCCCATCCCGACACGACGCCGGGTACGAAACTCTCGAGAACCTCGGCGTTGGCAGCACCATTCCCTCTATCTCGTCTTCTTCATCTACCAACTCCGCCAGTGCCAGACGAGGCGGCGCTGGGTGCTTGAAAAGACGACCTCTCAGCACAATCGAAGGCCGCGGAGGATGGCGGTGCGGCGTGATGTCTCGTTTGACCATGGTCTTTGGTATACGTCCGTGCAAGTAAGTGTCGGAATCGCCGAGAGGGATAAGGTCGATCTAAGAAGGGACCTTTCGCAGGCGAATGAGTGTGTTTGCCGTCTCCACGCTTGCATGACGTTGACGAGTGCGAACGAACACTTGGGAGAGCTTCAGCTGCGGTGCTGAGCTTGGCTTTGCCGTTGTTGGGCAGTGTAGGCGGTGGGGGATGGAAGGTCGAGAGGGCCTCGATTCGCGTGGATTCCGTGGGACGTAGAAGGTCTCTTCTGGTGCGAACGACGACGGAGATGCAACGAGTAGCATCTGCAATTGATGCGGCAGCGTGATGACGAAGGCACGTCGTGGAGTGGGTGTGGGCATTCGTGGAAGGAGATAGGCGGATGCGTTCGTTTGGCAGCTACGAAGGATGAGGTCAACGAGTCGTGTATGACGAAGCGGGAACCGCACGCACCTGTAGCTTCCTAAACACCATCTTCATCACGCGCTGTCCATCCAAGTGCCAGAATTCGACTCTCACGGCCTTGAGTGGCCGGAAGAGGGTTCGCCGTTGTTCCTAAGTACACAGGCCTAATTCAAGACGAGAAAACCCACCAAGAAAAGACGGATTACACACCTCAGCCATCTTCAGCGCAGACTCCTCGGCCATAAGTTCAGCCTCGTTATACCTCATTCCGATCGTCATGCGCACTGCAGAGGAGGCTGCGAAGGTAGGAAGTGAATTGAGATCTGGAATGTCGCTTATGGAGTGAAGGACGGGATGGAACGAATAAGTGAATTTAGGCGATACGAAGAAGATTCGCAACGAGTGGAGGATGAATCGATGACGGAGCGCCGAAGGGCCGCCGGTGGGACAAAGGTGACGAGTGGAAGATGGAGGCGAGATGGAGGTGGGAGGGAATAACCGTGTGCAGACCCGAAATGACGATAAGATCACACGGTCACGCTTCCGTTTCGTCATCTCGGCTTTGTTGGACTTTCCTTTCACCACTCACTAGCACTTCCCGTCCCCTCGAGTTCACCGACGGTCTTTATGCTTCCTCGCCTTCACTGAGCAACGTGAACAAGCGCATCATCGCCTCGACCCCCTGGATTTTCTGTGATCGTCCTCGTTCGTGGAATTCGAAAGGCGGAACACGCCTCTGCACTGGCAGACAGGAATGCATCTTCGAGTCGACAGGTTGGCGACGTTCTGGTGCGTCTATCTCCTTCTCTCACACGCAGCTCTATAAGAACCGATTCTATCCATGTATGCCGCCTTCCCTAGAACCTCCCGATCTCGGATATCTCGACCTGTCGGATCTCCCCTTGTCTGCTCTTCTCTTGGCCACATCCATCCCCTCCGACCAATCTCCCTCCTCTCTGACTCTCTCCGCCTTCCGCTCTTCGTGGACTCGAACAAGCCCCTCCAACACACATCTCCCAGCCCATCGTCGCTCCGACGCGCGAGCAATCGCCACGGTCTTTTCTCGAGGCGTTCCGTCTTTCAGAGAGCCCCCAGCGGACAGCAGTCGTGTCGCCACACACCTCTTGCTTCTCGCCCTAGTCCTCGGCTGGGTTGTGGGCGATTATATCATTCTCCTTTCGCTGGTCCTCTTCACTCTCTGGGCTACACTCACATCTCCGCCCTCCCTCCTTCGTCTCTACTCCCTCTCCTACTCTCGGAATCGAAGGCGGTATCTGTCTGCCGTCGTCTCTGTTCCTCCGTGCATTCTACTCTTGTCCTTCCCCCATTCCTTTTTTATTCATTTACCGGTCCATAATTCCGGAAGAATACTCAGGACACCGATAGCAGCAGCTACGTCCATACCCACTATGCTCCACCCGCGTCTAGCCTAAGACGTGATGGAGCAGGTGGATATTGGGTCCCAGTAGCTGCATGCTATCGGTGTCTTTCTGTTCGTATCTTCCATGTACATAAATAGTGCTAACGGTGCACGCGTCCTCGGTTGCACTCTGTAGTGTACGCAGCTTCAGACACTGGACGTTGGCCAACTACGTCCTCTATGTACTCCGCTCCTGCGCCCTGTCCCTCCCCGCAGATATTCAGACACCGAGAATCCCACCCACCATTTGCGCTTGACTCCATATCTACCTGCACCAGCCGTCGTCTCACAGAGATCTTCGGTTAAGGGTAGTTATCGTGGCCTCGAGGAAGTCTGGGTGGGCTCTTTCCTGATCCATGGCTCCTGTGAGCGACGCGTCGGAATATCGCTGTGGGTATACTCTTTTCTTTGCTATTGCAGCTTCTAGATTAAGGCTCTGATCCACCAACGAGACGTCCTAGCCCTTCGGAATCGCTTTCACTTTTCGGAATACCTAATTCTGGAGAGGATGTTTGGGTACAGAGTCCTGATGATAGATTCAATGGCTTCATCTCTGCCAATCTGCAAGGCTTCGGCCGTCTTCTCCTACTTCTTTCTTCCCTAAGCTACATACACTGTGAGACATTTCTTTCTGTATTCTAGTATATCTCGCTCATCTATACGGCAGAATAAAGCTTCCCCTTTGGCGGGCATTAATAGCTGGAAATGCAGCGTGTGTATAATAAACTGTGGTTCATGAAATAATGATTTTATTTCCTAGCGTTCAAAATTCTTTTATCGAACCTTCCCTAGCGAGCGTCCACAGATCTTGAAGAGCTCTACGTGTCTAGATGGGACCGGCGAAACAAGGGGGCCATCCATGGTATGTGTAGCCTAGTGTCCATATATTCGTGCGCGAAAACATGGCCATGACTCTCGCGCCGCAGTACGTACTTGAGGGTGTGGTAGTCTTGACAGCGTACAGCTACATAATAGCAATGCCAGATGAGAATCGGAAGAAGCATGAAGGCCCGTCTCGTCTGGGACGAGTATCCAGTCTTTGGAGGAAGAGCATGGCCCGAAAGAGGGATGCGAAGCAGCATCAAGTATCCAGATGGCACCGCCAGCACCATATGAGGCATGTGCGGTCTTCAACCTGGAAGGACCTTGCCCTTCGTGAGCCATGCTCTTACCCTCTGAAATTTTCGGACAAGTGTACGGACGATGGCAACTATGAAAGGAGAAGAACGGAATGAATGCCAGGACTTATCTGTAGTAACGAACGGTCTCGAGAACCTCTATCTCCGTTCGCTTAGGTAAAATGGATAAGGAAAAGAGAACGAGACTCGAGAACCTACTATGTATGTGCACTACTGCCTCGACGCGTACGAGATACGCGTTCGTCGAGATTCCACATAGTAGCCCGAGTCATTTAACATGCGAGTCGTGGTCGAACTGCATCACACCAGGCTTTCCAAAGACCATCCTCATCGCCCTGGACCCATTTCTCGACGAATCCGAGCCAAGCTACCCCCAGCAGAAACACTCGTCACTTAGAGGCTGCGGGGACTAGATGGCGAATGACAATGGGATTAGGTCGATGAGGATGCAGCCTGACGACAGCACGGACCGAGACGGATAGCTTGAGCAAGGAGGAGGGAGGACGACTTGGAGCGTGTAGATAAAGGGAGGAGGGGCTACAGTGCTTGGGAATGAAAGTCGAATGCACGGGATATGGCGTTGCCATAGACTCGCATCGAGACGAATCGAGCGGCCCTGCATAGACATACGATGCAAAAGCTGGTTGCCACGGAAGAAGGCTGTTGGGTGTGTCTCGATGTTTGCGAGCTAATGCGATGCATCGTGTGCATGGGATGGAACATAATAGATCATGGGGGGTTGGAGTTTAAACTCGAAGTTTGAAGGTTGCATGGAAGAATAGAACGGAAGAGGAATGGAGGTTGGAGGAGAGAAATCGGGCGAGAGGGCGAGAGGCCAGAGAGAGAGAACTGGAATCCATGAAGGAAGTAGGCCGAAAGAATGTCAACGCGAGAAGAATAAGAGCAATCTGGGACGGAATGAGCAGTGACGGGAGAGAATCACCATCATGCGTCGAAAGAACGAAGATGATCGATTCGCAACCGTGGACTCATTCACCCGCAACGCTGCTCGTTTTCGACTCCAAGACGCACACGCTGTAGATTTATGGAGGGTGTAATGAGCGGACCGCAGAGGGAAGATGGGGGAGAGACTCGATTGGGAGGGAGAGAGGGAGGGATGCGGTTAAGTGCACGAGTGACGATTGCCTGAGATCGATATGCTAGATGCAGCCTACAGTGGGGTGATGTATGCAATGTGGCGTTCAGTCTGAAAGGGACGATTCAGATAAGTAGGCGAGCCATACGCACCAGTTGGCCCTCCTCTCCGCTTATTCCACTACTCGGTCATCTCCAACGGTGACGACACGAAACGGATCGGGATTTTGACAGCGCTTGATGAGGTAGATAAGAAGAGAGGATTATGCGTTGAATAGAGCGTTACGCGGAAGAAATGGTGCAGAGAGTACGTTGGCAGGATGAAGGTGGCGAGGAGGCGAGAGGGTTTGGTTGCAAAATGAAGGAGTCGTACATATCTGATCGAAGGCCCGATAAGATCCCACGGTCACGTCCTCGTTTCGTCGTTCATCGGCTTCGTCGGACTCTTCTTCTTTCACCACTCCCATTCCATCGCGCTCGAGTTCATCTACGACCTTCACACTTTTACCCAAAATCAACGATTGTATCACCTCGTAGACTGTCTGGATTCTCCCCGATTGTCCTCTCCTACGGAATTCGAAGGGCGAAAGGCCGATCTGTGCACCTGGCTGGCGGAAGTGGATTCTTGGGTCGACCGATTGGTCCTGTTCTGGTGCGTCTATCTCATTCTCTCATACGGCGCTGTCATGACCAACTCTCTTCGTGTGCACCCAACTCTGTAGATCATCCAATCTCATATCTACCGCAACTCGCCCACCCACCCCTATCTCCTTCCACTCTCCCTGTTTTGTTTCCTTGCAACCCCCAAAGATTCCCTGTTGAACCCACGCGTACCTCTCTCCCAGGTGTCCCTTCGACACATGCATGACCGGCTGCCTCCTTTGTGCCATGTTTGGTTGTTCATAGTGTCTAGGGTTTTGTGGATTATGTGCGTGTGTCGGATATGGGTAGTCGTTATAGAAATTTTGACCCCCCCAACTCATTGCACGTCTTCTCTCTCTATCGATGCTTCTCTCGTGCCATGCATCGTCTGCACCTCCTCATTCCGGATACATACCCAGAAAATTATCGCTATCTATACCCATACCCACATCCACTCTCCCTCTCCCTCTCGCAGCGCATTGATCTCGGTGCACATGCGAAATACAGAAAAACTAAGCCCCGTCAATTCTAGGATCTGCTCGAATCGACTTGTCATGAACGAGAGTGCCCTTGTCCTCTCCATGTTGCTTCGTACCCATCACAGAGAAGATAAGAAACGCGAAGAGCCACCCAGCGTCCATCCAGAGCCCGCACTATCTCACCCAGACACCCGCCGTTTCACAGACGCTTACGTGCCAGTTGCGGGGAGATATACGGAGGGACTATATAACGGTTGCTGGTGGCTCTTTCCTCCTCTCTGTTCCCTATGATGTATACATGCCCGTCTGTGCAATGTCTGAATGTCTTGAAACTACTAGTATCTCCTTCGGCCTCTGTCGGCCGTTGCTGCTACCATCCATTTCCCGAAGATTTCCGATTTCGAAGGAAAAGGGCGAGTTGGGGATTTTGCCCGCACTCCTTGACTAAGATTGGGGTGTCTTCATAAACCCAAGTCGAGACAAGGAATTTGGAGGGTCCAAGTTCATCTAGCTTGCTCTTTACTTATTTTTTCGAGATCCTCCGATCGCCATTCAATCTCGGATATGCACTCTCTGATCAGTCTCTGTTTACTTGTGAACAGCGGGTTTGCCAGGTTCGATGCCTTATGCCCCTCAGGTGGGTGCAGCGAGAGAGAAAATGAGCAGATTTACGAAGAGATTGAGATATCCATTTACAGATGTCGGCACGTTCAAGGTACGCGTGCGCTGCAGTAGGATAGTTGGAATTCCTCGAAATACCTGCTCTTTCATTTGACTCGGCGCCCAAGAAAGCGGGCACCGTACTATCAGCTGCTATCAGCCATCATCTAGTAGTTTGGGGCCAAAGGCAAAGGGAAACGTAAAGAGAGATGGTCTGCCAGGGCATTTTCCCCCGAGAGTGATTGGACGAAAGATCCAGAGAGAGGAAGCGACAGGGTGTGAATGCAAATTTTCAGTGAGACAAAGGACCGGGTGTTCCAGAGCAGACGAGCGGAAAGACCCAAGTGTGGGATTTATCCCGAGTCGAGGATGAGAAAGAGCCACGAACGAGCGACGACGTTATTCAAAATCCTTTCCATTCTGGCAAGAGTGTAGAGAACGATGCGAGAAGCCATCACCGCGAGGTGGGGTATGGAATGTCGGGTGAACGGCACAGACGCCGCCGTAATGAATCCCGTAGATCGCTGGGGCACAAGCTGCCTTTTCGCTGCAAGGAATCCCTGTCGAAAGCAGAAAGAAAGGGTGTGAGCTATTATCATGGAGTTAGATGCGATACTGCCTCGACGGGAGAGTTCCTTTCTAGGGAAATTATGATGGAGATGGGTAAGAGAAAGCGATCCGATATTCTCTCGAGAAACATGTTAGCAAGAAGGAAGGATGACCAGGGACAGGCTTGAGAAACTCCTTCTCTTGATAATGGCACATAATAAGACTAATTTTCTCGAACGAGGAGTGTACTTTTCACCCCACCTGCTCCTTCCTTCGATGAGGGATATCGAGGAATCGAAAATAGGAGAGTGACACGACGGATGCAAGCATAGGAATAGAAGAGATGAAGTGAGAATATAGAGGGAAGGAAGAAAATGGGCAGTCCAACAATAACAGCTCCAAGACCAAGAATAGACGCGCGTCACCAAGATCTGCGAATCTAGAAAGCCAAAAGTTCAACAGAAAGAACGCAATGTCCGAGGAGAAAAGTGGCGAAAAGAATGCGCACCGAAGTATTATACAACACGGGCTGTATGAGCTTCTCCTTCCGTCCCTCTCCTGCTGGCCCCATTCCTTTTCTATGGTCATAACAATCGTAAAATTAGTCGTGAAGAGGCGAAGGGCCAGTGCGAACGCGCCTCGGGCATAGACATTGGGTCATCTGCCTCATTCGCACCGTTGTTCCAGTTTCCGAATAGAGAGTACGGATCGCGCTTGAGCTGGGCGCTCGTTCGGCACTTCTGACCGGCCAAGGAAAAGGTCCGGGATGAGGTATAGGTAGACGAAGTCAATATGGAGGCGGAGGATGGGGTGGACACAGATCAAGATGGGACGGAACGCGTGCCGGACAACAGCGGATGGGCCCGTGTATGCTCTGAAGCTGAGGACGCGGAGTGGGCCTGGGCGGATGAAGACACGGATGTAGCTGTACTCTAATGGGTGTCGCTGAAGAGGTACTATAGGGGTAAGGGTCGACGTTGGGATATAGCGCGTTGAGCAACGAAGGCAAGTCCAAATCCATATCGGAGTAGGAGAAGTCGAGGTTGATTTTAGGGGTGATGCCGACTGAGACGGTGACGCGTATCTCGAAGAGAATCCCCGTCCGGTGGCGAGGGCGAACGTGGGGAACGAGATGGGAGTTTTGCGGTGTTGCAAGGATGGAATAGAACGAGCGCATACATGCCGCATGGGCTAGATTGGTTTTGGGGCTCCCCGACGGCAGCGCATACCCACCATGGCCGCCCTTGCCGACGTTGCTGACGCTGGTGGGTTTCTCGGTGCTGGTGCGGAAGCTGTGATTGACGAAGAGTTCACCATTGCTGAGCGGTGGTTAGTCGCAGTCAGAGCTATGATATCCTCCGTTTTATTGGTCCCCGTCTTCGCTGTCCGTGATATCTCTCTCGAAGAACACTCTGTCCATCTCCTGTGCTCCAATCATCTACGCCCACCGCCGGACGGATTGGGAGACTTGAGGACGGCGAGGAGCTCGAGGATAAGAGGCGTTCGACGAGAGAGTGGATGTGTGCCGTCGCAGTGGTGTCAGTTGAGGTCTGTAGGCGACGACGAGGTGGAGAGTTTGCTAGCTGAGCAGCCTTCGGTGTAGGTGTCCTCGTGCTGGATGAGTAGACACGCGCGTTAGGGTGTGGATGGTGCGGGTTGTGGGGTTGCAGATGCCGTGGGTGTCGGAGACGATGCGGGTGTTGGTGGATATGCAAGGCAGCGACTTGCGAGGGCCAGGGTCTCCTTTGGCGCTAACGAGATTCGAGTTGGCGAGCACGATGAAGGTGCCGCGGGTGGAACCAGACATACAGTCCGATGTCGAAGATAACTGGCCGCGGGTATCTGTGAAGATCGTGACTTAGAATTGAGGCGCACTGATAGAGACGTACCGGCAGATATCATTGTACATGGCATGAAGGACAACGCTGTAGATCGATCGATGTTGACGTTCGGACGGCGTCGGGAATTTCGGGAATAACGGATTCAGAATGTGACCGTGCGAGATTCCTTCTATTCTCGTCCCACCGAGCCTCTCACGATGATGCTCCTTCTCTTCAACCACCACCTCCATCACCCTCTCGCCGCCACTGCACCACTGCGGACTCTCTCTTCACCTTCCACGCGTAGCCTACTATCAAAGCCCTACCGTATTAATCCACCCTCACTGTCCAACCACCCGCTCTCGATAACTCAACGATCTCGATCTTCGTCAAGTACTACGTCTCCTTTGGATCGTAGGAGGACCTTGGACAGGAAGTCAGGCGATGGGGGTGATTAGGGGCTGGGCTGTAGCTGGTTAATGCGGTACGTTCCTCCTCATCGCTCTCCTTTATATTCTATGCACCTGATCGTATCAATATAGACCACGGCCTCCCTTCGAGTCTTCCATCCTCGTCGATCGCCTTCCTCTCTCCGGATGGGATGTTGTTTTCCATCGCGATTCATCCCTCTTATCCCACCGTCGCCATCTTCTCACCCATCACCCCTCAACCTCTGGCGCATCGTCGGAACGAGAACGAGCAACGACCGGGCACGATCTCCATATTATTATTGATGCTCGTCTTTTATCGATGCGTTAGTCCTCATGTGGTTCCGTGATATGTAACCAGTCGCTGTTTGTTTCGTCTCCATGCGGCCGTACAAGGATCCTTGCTTTGCTTCACTCATCCGCCGCCCGCTCTGGGTTTACACTTGACAAGTACGAACCTTTTGGACTCGCCTCTTTCCATCGTCCTATATGCGGTGCAGGGAAGGAGATGAGAAGCAGGAGTTTACTGGCATCCCTCTAGACAAGACCACACGCCCTCCATTCGGACGGTGGATGCGGGTGTCCTGTCTCGTATATGCTGACCACACTTCCCTCTTCTCCGTCCGCCCCGCTGCATTACAGCCTTTCCTCTTTTCGCTCGTCGTTATTGCCATGCCATCTGTTTCTTTCTCTATCGATTCATCTTTTGACAAACCGGAGTTCTGACTTGGAAGAAGCAAGAGCGAATTGTGGATTTCACGTATACTGCTTCATCGAGATCGGGGTCATCTGGTGACCCTTGGTCGATATGAGCAGTTAACCATCAACGAAGCCATGATTCGCTCTTTAATTATCCTTCGAGAATCTCCAAGTGTCCTCAAATCATACTCTGTCGTCTGCCGTCCGTTCTCTCCTCATCAGCATCCCCAGTAACGCGCCTCATTCCTCTTAGTATCTCACTCCTCGCCCTCCCTCCTTTCTCCCCCATCGTCGATGCAAGGCGAAGGAAAGAACGTGACGCGCGGAGATTTATCCGCACTGTGCACCACACGCGCTGGGCAGTCATTGGTGTGCATCTGGATATAATCCTCCTCTCCTATCTGTCTTTCCTAACCCGACGTCGGCGAAAGGGCAGTTGTGCTACACGGAAAGGGCCCTTGCCTATCTATACTCTATCCTGCGCTTGTATCCGTCGATGCCCCTTCCTATGTGCCTCACATCGTCCTTTCTGCCTTTGGCCTTTTCCCCCCTCTGCCATTTTTCCATGCCATCGCATATATTCGACTCACAGAAATTGTAAAAGTAGCACAACACGGGCGCAACCGTTCGATCCGCCGACTAATTCACCGCCGTCTCCCAGGCATCGGTGTACTTCGGTGGATTGATGTATCGCTTGTGGAACGTCGTTGTGCTGTTTGCCTCTGATACATGCACAGGTACTGCAAGAAGATTGAAGGGCGGGCTGCATTTGGGCTATGAGTATATCTTGGGGGTTACTAGTTATGCGAGGTTCGACTGCGGATGGGATTCGAGTAGCGCGTAGAGCGGCAGCTGTGGTTGGTCAACAGCCATATTTCTGACGCTTTACTCATTATCTCATCTGCCGTAGCGTAGCAATGCCGCGAATACAAGATTCTCGCTATCAGAGATTATTATTCACCTACTCAAAAGTTCACGAAACATTTCAAAGTTCGATTTAATGCCGAGATTTGAGGGTATGTAAGCAATGGCGAAAAGCGCTGATGTAAGGGTTCGAGCTGTATAGCATATGGGTGAAAGGACGAGAAGACAACACATAGATCATAACGCACTGAACGGAAGACTGTATATGATCGACGGGAAGCAACAAGGCAGGAGGATTACGAGACGCAAGGGTGGAATTACAAAGAATTTCCCAGTAGCAAACGGATCGCAGAACCATCCAATGTTCTAGCCGCGTAACACCAGGACTCTGAAAGCCATCCTCATCACCCTAGATTACATTGAGCGACTTCACAGCCAAGCTTCCCCAACAGGAACGCTCATCAAAGGCGGCGGGGGCGAGATGGCGGAGAAGGATGGGATCGGGGCGATGAGGATGCACGCGGACGATGTCGGCTGGCAAATTTTCGGGTGGTGCGGCGAGCGATAGCGAGGGATGAGAATGTGGACAGTGTATCTAGTATCTACATAGAAGGCGGAGCGCAAGCGGATGTGGGGCCAAAGGAAAGGAGGCAGATATCACCATGCACGAGGGGATGTTCTCGGTCTCGCTCCATAACGGTCTCCGCCGATGTGAAGAAACCTACAGTGAAGAATGGGAACAAACCGCAGAGAATGAGTTCAAATCTCTGTGAGAGGTGTCCAATTCGAAAATTCAGCGTGTCAACACCGGCGGAGTATCCAGAAGAGCGGGACGAAGAGCGGAGCGGAGAAACGGAGGTGTAAATGTACATATGTGAGAGACCGGCGGTAAATGCAAGATTAATTGTAATTTCGATAGACGAACGATGAGGGTTCCTCGAAATTCCAGTCTGCCCACGCTGAAAGGAAAAGAAGCGGGTGAGAGCAGACAAACCCCTCGTCTTGATAAATACAAACGAGCGCATTCACGATCTCGAGCGAGGAGTATGTTATGGAACCCGACCAAGTCTTTTCCTATTCAATCGAGCAGAGAATGCGACGAGGGAAGGAGGTAGCAAAGACAAAAAAACGGAAGGAGACGGCAGGAATATAGGAAGCGGGAATGCAAAGAACATTCCCAACCGAAGCCAGAAACTTGCCTCCATGATATGAAAGTGCGAACGGGCTCGGGAGGACATCAATGCAGTACCCGATTGCTTTCCGACCCCAATTTTGGTTAATGTAAGAGAAAATAATAGGGCCAAGAATACTAGAGCTCGAGAGGAGACAAAGAAAAGGGCGGGGCAAGACGAGACCGGCGAGGTCGTAGTAGTCAATAGGCACACAGAGATGAAACGATCAGTGAGCCTCGTCCCAAAAAGTCGGTTTGGAAAACCACAGATCGGAACCCAGATGTCTACGAGACGAGGGCGATCGTATGCGTGTGGTATTACAGAGGGAGGGGCGCTGCTCGTTATCGTCCTTGTGGTGTGCCAGAGATTGAGAGAGATCGGCGAGCGGGGATGAGGTAATCCAAAGACGAAGGGGATGGAAAGATGGGAGAACGGTGTTGGCAGGGCAGGATGCCTGCGGAAGAGGCCATATCGAACGATCGCCCGAGATCGGTAAAGTAGATACGATTGGGGATGGGGCGGCGGCGTGGAATCGACGGTGGACGATGACCGGTACTGGTCATCGTCCACCGACCGTCAGTCAGAAGAGAAAGAGTATGCAGAAGATAAGTGTAGTGCGCACCTTATACCCAGACACTGATAACCTCCTTCGCTCGTTACACCCTATTACCCCTCGGTTATCTCGCAAAGGCAGGCTCGAGGCGTGTCATGATCCATGTTGCAGACTACGAAAAGCACTTGAAGGGGACCATGGATGGAGTTTACGAGAGGGATAAAAGTCACTAGAGAGCCAGGAGTGTGTGAGGACGCGGAAGGACCTTTGACGCCGCAGAGGTATTGAGAGAAGGTGGAAGGGGGGAGGTTTCGGAGCGCAGTGCCCGAAAAGGATGTCGTCATTAGATCACACGGTCACGTTTATGTCTCGGGCTTCGGGCATCCGACGGCGGCACCAGCTCGTTTCTTTCATCCACCAGCCCGCGTTCCAACCGCGTTACGGTTACGTCCTCCTCGCTAGGGCCTTTTCCCTTCAAACCAGATCCCCTCAACAACTCTTTTCACCACCTCAAACTACTTACTCGGCTCGTTTCAATCGTCTGGCATCGCTTACTAGGTTCGACAGGTGGAGACGAAGCAGTCACTGGTCAGGATGGAGGCGAGAAAGGGCGGGAATGACGAGATCTTCTAACAGATTGGCCGTATTCCGGTGCATTTCACTTCCTCTACTTCGTATACCACAGACACTACAGTTCGTCTTCTATCAGATCACGTCGATCCCAGAGGGATCTGTCATATTCGCCGTCGTTGGCATCTTCTCTGCCCCTGCCCCTTCCAGTGCGACTTCTCTGCGTTCCGGCTTCCTCGTTCCCTTCTCCCCCTTCCCCTCGCCTTCGCCGCCGCCCTATCTATCTGCCCTACCCCTCCCCAGACACGCTGCTACGCGGTGTCGTCGCCTCCACCGATGCATCGTGACGCGCAGCTGCCTACCCTACCGCTCTTGACGCACGAAGGACGGCCACTCGTTCTTTACGAGCGGCTCGTCATTCATGGTGTCTAGGTGCCGTCAATAAGGTGGGCACTGCGCGCCTCCGAGTACTTGGCCGTGACAGGGCCCTTCCTCTCCCCATCCGTTCCTCTCGCATCGATCGCGACATCTCTTGCGCCCATCTCCGCCCCAACACTACCCTCCTCGGCTTCCCTTTGTCCATCTCTCTTTCCCGCTCCAGCTTGAAGTTGGCGAGGACTCGCGTCTAGACCATCTCACACCCCTAATCGCCTACTCGAACACGTCAATTCGCAGCGACCGTTCTCGCTCCGCAAGATTCG